TCGCCCTTGTCTTCAACAGCAGGCTCTTGAGTTTCTCTGTGATCTGCCATTTTGTATCGCCTAGGCGTCAAACAGAGGACAAACATTATTTAGGAAAAAATGGATCACGAATTCGTAAATAATTTCATCAGGCTGTTCAACAAGCGCCGACGTTTCGATGACTGCCTGTCCCTGATGAAGATGACAGATGGTCATCGTCGGCCCTTGGTTGTGAAATAAAAAGTTTACAATGTATTACGAATAATCTATTTCAAGGCCAGACGCATCTCATGCGAAACACACAGAGCTGATATTTTAGCAAAACTAATTAGTGCAGCTAAATGTACGTCCTGACGCACATGGACAATTTTCCTAATTGCTTAGACGCAACGGTGGCTAACATAATTTAATATGGGTACATTCTTAACGACATGACAGTTTCTCAAAACGCAAGGCCACTTCCATCTGGGTGACATGGACCCACCGTCCTAAGGATAACAGTTACGCCTGTGCTTTTTACAGAAATTACCGCACAGCCTCCCCATTTGACCACAGAAGATGTTTTAACGCTGCTGCTTTTTCCCGATAGTATCATTGTCTTCTAAATCATAGCCGTATTTCCAACCTTTCAAGCGGTCGTTTCAACGGGAGTGACTAGAAAGCTGTATGTAATGAGAAAATAGATGTGGTAATGTCAAAACACCCCTAGGAACCTGTTTGGAGGCTACTGTTGCTGACGGCAACAATTGCATGCTATCGATCGCTACTAAAGTACGAAACTATGGAGAGATTGAAGTACATTGCACTAGGTTCGTGTCTGTAAACAACGACGACCATGTTTAACGTTGTTTGTTCAACTGCAAAAGGCATAATGTCGCAATACCCTAGCCCTACCACCAGCAGAGACTTTGTTGCATCCAGAACCGTGCTTTATCCAGAACCATGCTCTGGCATAGCTATATATAGGTAGGTAGTCCACGCATATCCAGAACTGTACCTGGTGCAAATCTACGTTCTTGGATTCCTGATCTTAAGTTATTGCCCTAACCCATTAAGGCAAGGGCTAGCTAGGCATATGGTTCTGGATACCAGACCTAAAAGCGCACAGAATCATGCCCCGCACGTACAACCATGTCCAATCAACAGCCAGAACGCGCTATGCTCCATACCCAACCCGGAAGTGACCGTGTTGCGAAATTGCATAGTGCACCATTACGTCAATGTACAGCATGCATGTAGTGCATGTACGTTGCATTACAAGACACACAAAAACGTGAACGAACTTACCAAGAGAAGTCGGCGAGCCCCACGTATCTCTTAAGCTGTTACGTTGCGAAATAGCAAACTGTTCCTCGGTTTTAGAGAAGACAGCTTGGTTTTAAATGGACCACGGCTCGCATGCGACCGGCCAGCGCGAAATAGCAGTAGACCACGTGACGCTCTTAAGTCTACGCCCCCGTCATATGATGAGCGATGACGTCATTAACAAGTATGCGGCGTTACGCCCTCCTTAATACAACTTTGGCCGCGCGCCAGACATGGGACACAGCAGTGCGGAAGACTAGAGATGGAACAATTTCAGTAATGACGGCTGGAGAAGGCTCATCTGTATTCCACTGGCGAAGTCCAATACAAGTCGACGTTGTGGTGAAAAGAATCTACTATAATTGCTCTAAAAGCAACATGTACATTTCGGTTTGGCATAAAACAGCAGAAAGAACTCAATGTTGTACATTTTTTTTTCTTTTACATAATTACATGCAACAAACGTACAATCATCCCCATGGCAATATTTTTATCGCCTTCCAGTCTTGCCTTTTTTATTACAGTTACAATTAAGGGCTAGTTTACTTTGGCCAAAAGAGGAGTTGAACATTTTTGGAAGCCCTTTGGTGTGACCATAAAAGTGCATGCATGCATGACCGAATGTCCACAAACAGCCAGTCCCGCCTAAAGCTCAACATAGCTACAAGTCATAAATATCAAATCCCTTCTATATGTATATACGTAAAACTGTGCAAAAACTATGCGATAATAGTGCAACAAACATGAAGTGAACTATACAAAGAAATCACCACTCACCCCCGAAACTTTGATTGAACCTCTATATCTTTATTTGGCAAGCATTGATAGAAACATGACAGACACAGCTAACCGCACCCTCCCCCCCTCAACCAACATCTAACACTTATTCTTAAGACTACGATTATTGCAGAGAGACCATCTTAAAAACTCTTCCAGAATGTTAAACAATGCTGCACTGAAGCTGTGAATGGTACATTGTGTAGATATATACAGATCTTAGACATTTGTGGATGTTTCATGCTCTTTCTGGCAATACCGTGGTAGACAACAGTCAATGGAAAAACTTGAGAGGTTTAAAAGAAACCTTTTCTGCGTGGTGAAGATTGTAAAATCGTGCCAGGTGAGTTGATATTTCCACAGTAACCTGCAATTTTTCCATCGTGCTCTCTTTCATCTGTTATTTTTAAACAGTTTCTGTGCAAATTCTGCCAACATTCAATTCTTTTTCTTCTTCTTATCACTGACTGGACTACACAGAGCAAGCATAGCCAGTACTTCTAGACATCTTGGTGACATCTCTTCCTACACACAACTTCAGAACTTCACTGTTCAACCCTCACAAGAGTTCCCAAAATATAAATCACAACCCCCGTACAACCAGTCTATCTATACAAGTACAAAAGAGCCTTGCTTAGCAAGGATGATGAAATCACTTCTTCTATCTAGAATGGCTGCTGTAGATTCCCGTTATATCTATATATGACACACATATGGACCACATTACTCTCACACACATACATGTAGGCTAATCATTGCTCTGTACTTATTTTTTTTCTTACACTATAATTTTTTATAAGAATTCACATACATGAAGAATATAGGGCTGATGCAATTGCAGATACAAATGGATGTTAGCACTGAATTGTTAACCTTCTCCCTGCTGCCTAACCCCCTAACCAATACAAATCTGGTGCCAACAGGCTAGTTCAGCAGGAAGAAGGTTAATGTTTTTTGAACTTTTGGAGTAGATGGTTAAGATTGTACAGTGTTAGTCTTGAGATTCCCAAGACAAGTTTCCTATAGTGGCAAGACCAACATCTAATGTCTGGTTCTAACTTGACGATAGCCCGACTTTCTGTCCCAAGAACTGACTAGAACTGCTTCATTCTGTCGGTGTTCAGAACAGGAAAGTTGAACTGTGCACTGTTTCCAGCACAAGTGGAACAAACATGCATACTGGTCTGCATGGCAGCCATCTTGGATCACCTTGAAGGTCACGGAACAAGGACAGAACTTCCTCGGACAGACAAATATGGCTAATTTTTTTTTTACGTTTATTTTCACAAACCAAGTAGATCATGCATCCCTGGCTATTTTATCTGATTTTTTTTTATTCCAAAGTTAGATTTTCAAGACCCCTTTTTCCATACAGGATGGAATGTTGATTGATACATGCTCCAGCAACCTTTGCCCTGTGACCCTTGTTCCTATGACCCTTGCCCTTGTGACCCTTGCCCCCACTTCTTGGCTGTGACATACATGTACAAGAAGACTGTGGATTAGTAACTGTATTTTTTCCACATGCTACACTAATGTAAGTCATCCTTTCTTGCAATGGCTTGTGGCTATTAACAGTAGGTACATGTAGTACAATAGATGCATATGTCAAGAAAGTTCCCTACAATCTTACACACTACAGTAGTTCCCCTTGCTTAATCATGTCTACATTGCAGATATAATGTCCATGTCTTATTACAATCTAATACATCATTATCTAAGTAATGATTTATTATTTGAGAAAGTGTCTGGTTGATATACAAGATATTAATAATGATAGTTTGATATGTAGAAAACAAAATGTATAAAACTACTGATAGCATTAGCCTAATGTAAAATTTGATGTGCTATTGCAAAATCTTCATCCACACTAGTACATATTATTGATTTATGACAAAATGGCAATGGCAAGCTCAGAAAATTGGAAAAATTCAAATGGAAATGTAATTTCATAATACATCTTTGTTGCTTATTTTTTTCATATTGTAAAACAATCAACATGTAAATGGAAACAATCTCAGTGCTTCTCCAGTTTATACCTGCTTCATTTTTTCTCTACTTCTTCTGTTAAAATACTGCCTTTCTTTCCTTTCAATTGAGCCACATACACTTAATCTTATGGATGACATCTGAAGTTGTGAGCCCTTTGGTGAAACTACTGCACATGAGAGAATATATGTATGTCATGGTTGTCATGAAAATGCCCACATACCTAGCACATGTACTCATACAGACATACTGTGTACATGTACCTGTTGACAAAGGGTAGTCAAAACTTGGGGGACCCATAAAATCTGGACTATGTGGACAGACGGGACCACCAAAAAGTGGTCACAATAGCCAGGTGGCCCTTATGTTGAAGTGCTCACTTGTACAGGTCTGACTGTATTTGTTTTTGTCTCATCCATAAAATCAAGTCCATGTGGCCTTATACCAATACATTGTACATGTGTCATCACCAAAATAGGGATGAATTCTTGTCATAACAGGGACAATACAATGTCTTTATGGTCCACCTCAGTTCTTCCTTCCACCTACAATTCAACAACACTCCTTTCTATGCCCAACACACTTTTAGCAACTGCTCCTGACCAAGATTGTAAAGGAATCGCAGAGTTGTGCCACAGCAAGCACTTTGGATTCGAGTTTCGATTGGCACTCTGCATGACAACTGTGATTTTAAACTTTTTGAAAAAAAAGCAGGCAGATGCAAAACAATGCTAGTAGCAGAAAAATAGCTGCAATATTGTTACATCAGAGAATATAGTTCGTATAACATTACCTAAAGTGAACAACTACAGTTACATGTAAATGTAGAGCCTTTTAACTGAACAAGTATGCCAACATGTCCACGGGCATTATGTACAGTGAGCATTTTTGAATGACAAAAATCTTACTGGACAATGCTTTAGGTGATTTTCAACTATATACACCTTCGCTTAACTGTAAGCTGGTCAGCACGCTGCTACAATCAGCCACATTCTCCACCAAGCCTGAATCGCTTCGGTGGCTAAAACCATTCCAGAAACACCCCTCCAACTTACATGGAGCATCCCAAACGTACACAGAACTGATACAAGAGCTAGGACAGCACCACTTACCAGCAGGGGTGGCCGAGGTATCTAGAATGGAATAATGTCGGGGCTCACTGCTATATCAACTATACAAAGGAGATCAACTTGTTTAACTGTGATCACAACAGTTTATATGATTTTAACTACAAGGAAAAATCAGGGGGCTACACTACGTAGTGGTTGCACTATGGTTAACCTTCTCCCTGCTGCCTAACCCTGTATGTAACCAATACAAATTTGGCGCCAAAGGGCGAGACGACCTCAGCAGGGCGAAGGTTAAGGTTCAGAGGTTAATCTCCTATTCCGAGGGCATCCTCCAAGTTCATGATCCTCCTCTCGTGTTGGCGTACCAACGCACGGAGACCTTTCACCTCTTCCAGGAGTTCTTGGAAGTCGAAGTCGGGTGGAATTTGGGGCTGCGGTGCGGCCGGTTGTCTCGGCTGTAAAGATGAGAAACGAACAACATTAAAGGTTTATTTTTATATCTGACGGTGTTTTCTTTCCTGGATTTGTCCATGCTGTTGTAGTGTGTGCAACAAAACACATACAAACACACACGCAAACACGCACATACAAAGGGTGCAAGATGCAAAGTACGTTCCTTGGTGTTCGGGCTGTTGCATAAGTGGCATACTTCGTATGGTGCAAAGCACAAAACCTGCATGCAAATTCTGCACCACATTTTATTTTTCATTCTCTTCTTGGGGTGCGAGAGGGAAGGCAAAACAATGCGAAAAAGCCGTTCAGTTTTCGTCATGCACTTTTGTCAGCCTTTTTAGATTGTTCTCTAAAAAATGGAACAAAATTGGTTTAAGCTGATGGAATGAAACTGCCTCATCATGCAGATAGTTATTGTGGATTGTTGCAAATTTGTTATTTATTTTTCATCATGTGTGAAAAACAGTGTGAACTTTTTAATAGTGAGATTTCAAACCTGTTATACAGGCAAAGAACCAGCGTTAGTTTTCAACACTGTTATGTATAACTTGTGGCCTGCATTTTGTTATGATGATGTTAAGAGTTTTAAGTTCAGGCAAACGCGCCTCATCAAACGTTGTTTGGTGTTAGTCAATCGAACTGGTATCAAAAATAAGCGTTGTTGAGGAGAGCATGCTCTTATGCAACAGTCACACAACAACATCTCAGAGCAGCCTTCAGTGACACGAGAAGGGGGAGGGGGGTAGTCCTGTGAAGTTGATGAGTCCAGACATTAAAGACGGCTACGGAACTTCGGAGGCTCGGGAAAAAACCTCTCGTGCAGCCCGAGTAGTCAGGTCTACCTGGTACAAATCGGGATTGTCGTATCTTGATCTTCTCTTGGCGTTTTCCCGCGCCCGTGCGATTCTCTCTTCCTCGTAGAGTTGTTGTCTGGCGCGCTCGTCTTCGTATAATCGTTGTCGGGCATAGTGCTGTGGTGTACATGTGTATGGGTCATTGACGGGGCAAATTCACACGGGGGTTCATACACCAAAGGCACTCGCTACGGTGTTAAGGGCATCCAACGCAATTTTAGGGCGGCAAAGCAAAAAATATTCTGGATGTCTTTGAGGAAATCTGTCGGATATTGATTGCCATTTCTTAGTAAATTTTTGTCATTGTTTCATGCTTGAAATAGCGAAAAACCAAGATACATGAGATGTACAGTCAGGTATCTTCATTTTTTGGGTACCCAAACATAGCTACAGTCAATCTATGATACAGAAACAAGCAGCCATTTTTTGTCAGTATGCTATAGGAAGCGGTTGATATAACTTATTACACTCAACGATTGACCAGAAAAATGACTTTGAAAAATACAGTTTTGCCGCCCTGAAATTGCATTGGATACCTTTAAACAAGAAACAGTTGTGTACGAAGAATTATCTGACAGACTAAACAATCAATCAATGATTCCTGCAAATGAAAAGAGTCTAGACTGATTGAAGGCAGGCTGGAACAGGGAAAAAAGAACAGTTATTGACAACTACATGACTGTAGACACACACAGGAGGCGGGACAAGAGCAAAGGATCCTGCAAATTACCAGGAAAAGGTAGTGTATATACTGTACATGTGGATTTTGACGCATATGATGCTGAAACAAGGAAAAAGGTGCTGCTAGTCAACGATTGGAGGAAGAAGGTGGGATAGGTACACATACTAGTACCTACACGTACAACATAAATCTATAGAAATCAACAATTATAGCATATTCTGTTGTAACATAAAGCCTTGCTGCTCTTGTATGTATAATGTGTGTGTGTGGAAAAGAAACACAAGAAGAATTCAGTACATGGTACACAAAAAAGACACAATAAGCTGCAGTACTGCCATGCCGCACTAGGTGGAGCTGTTGCAAAATGGAAGAAAAGGATAGCAGCTTCAATGGGGACAGGACTTCTCTTGCATGCCATAGAACACTGTACAAATACGTAAAAATTGTAGAAACAAAAGTGGACAATTTCTATTCCAGTTGTATACTTCCATTTCAAATCATACTTAGAGACTAGGGATAGAAATCAAATTACTTAGTATCACAATTAAAATTATCAAATTAAAACAAAAGAGCAAAGATTACATTGGACAAAAGAATTAATTGATATTTTGCCCACTTTTCCTTCAAAATTTCAAATGAATAGCTGAAAGCAGAACAGCCAATGACATCGTAGGAGAGAATTCGAAGGGACCAATGGATGTGATTGTAACAGGATTGGTGGTGACAGATTGAAGTAACAGGACTGCTGATTGGAGGAGAGTGATAAAAGGTTATACCGCTGGTGGCTCAGGTTCAGGGTCAGGTTTGGGGGGCTCGGGAGGAGGCTCCTTAGCTCCTGCACCTTCCTCCACTTTCTCCTTGGGGGGGAAGAAAGTAAAAGTAGATAAAAAGTGAAAGGATGCACACCTAGGTTGCCTGATAATGCAGGATTCATAATACCACCTGCATATGCAGGTTGGTGCAGGTGAAAACTAGAAGAAACGTATTCTAAGACTAAAATATGCTTTCATATCAAAAATAAACTCAACCCAACATTTGAGTGCATTTTGTATAGTCTACAACTTTGCCTAGCGTACTTTGGTACACTAGACAAAGTTGTAGACAATACAAAATGCACTTGAAAACGAGTGCGAAATTTTTACTCATTCCTGGGAGATCTGTATTTGACAAGCTGAAGTTGCGAAGTCAAATATTGTGTATATGCCCAAATCGTTTTGAGTTAGAAGTTCAAGTTCAGCCCTGGCTTTGTAACAAATTCCACTAACACAAATGAACGTTTGTACTACAATCCCACACACTAAAAAAAGTAACCAGCCACTGTAGAAAGTGGGAGGAGCTAGACAATATATCCCTTCTTTTGCATTTAATGCCTTTTCTGCATTTTTTTTCTTTGCAATGTACACTTAAGAATTGTTTTCAGTGCAAGTACTCATCCTTTGTTATGTTTTACTGTACTGTTGTTCTGAATATCAATGAAAAATTTTCGAAAGACCCTCCTCTTCCCGTGCATAGACCTCTAGCCATTTTAGTTTCTTTCATGGTGAGACAACTTGTAGAGGTGATATTCATCACCACCTGTTTTGTCTCCCCCTCCAATACAATAGGAAAATTCAAATAAAAAACAAATAAAACAAACAAATAAAACCCCACCTCTTCACGTGCGTGGACCTCCTGCCGTTCGTAAGCGTTGTGCTGCTGCTGGAGTTTCTGCGCCGTGGCGGCCACCGACGTCTGCCGGTCTCCCGCGCCGTGAGACTCCCGAGGGGGTGACCAGTCTCGCTCACGCGCCGGCGGGGACCGCTCAACCTTCGGAGGCGGCGCCGACCGTTCCACCTTGGGTGCGGGGGGTGTTTCGACAGCAGGTTTGGCAGGGGCGCTGTCTCGCACACTGTTGGTGGAGGCGGTTTTGGCTGCTGGCAGCTTGGGCCTGTTTAGGGCATTGGGCTTCTTCAGCTGCAACAAGGGAGGAAGAATATTACACTTTGTCACTTTTGGGACAAATTTTACACAGCAATACCTAGCTGCAATATAAATCAGAACCAGTCATTGGTTCAATAGTGAAGGTGACAGACAGCTACTGAAATGTCTGATTTGAAAACACATAGTTGTTGAATAAAGAACCTTCTTATACACCCTGTTGTCTACCAGAGGAAATCATTCACTGAAGACGTAGGAAGAAAGTGTAACAAACTTTTGTCCAAAAACAACAAACACTGCTGACTGCCAGCTAAGGGATGTATGAATTTTCAATGTAGTTGCACTCTCAACAAACCTTACAATTAGGACATGTACCCGTCATAGCTAGCAAAGAAAAATCTTAGTAATGTCTACACACCGAGGCCAGTTTAGGTTTCTGAGGCAGCACACTGGCCAGCTCATCGCGGATGGACATCAGGATGGGGTCTGCCACCTTCCCCTCAATCCACTCGTCTGCGGTGATGGCTGGTGTCTGACTCGCCGTGTCCGGGTACAGATCCTCCTGGAACAACTCAGACTGGAACACAACAACACGGGGGTCAGGATCTGTATCTGGCAAGGTGTTCTCCTTATGTTGAATTGTAAAACTTAAGTCCCAGAGCCTTTTTCTGGCGGTACGGCTTTGGGGATTTACTTACTTAGACTTAGGGGCTTCTGACATGAGGCAACCTGAGCAGTCCAGCAGGTTTGGTCAGCAGCCAGTCTCTTTACATCCTTCCTGTTCAGAGTAGGTCGCTCTTGATTGTTTCAGGGGCAGTGGATTGTTAATTCCCTCTGTCTAGGGTACAAAATTACTGCGCCTGTGCAAAACTCTTGACTTTTTGTGGATTTTGTTGGATCAGATGGTCAGATGCTTAGTCAATATTTTGTCAGAATTTTGCCAGTGGCAGACAATATCTTTCCGACAAAACAGTTGAATCTTTTGAATACTATAGACAGGATGTCATCCTTAAAGATGATGTTAGAGGTTCCCACTCACCTTTCTTGGAACAGTGAAGCTGATTGGTTCGCATTTATTTGGATGCAGCTTGTAGAACCTGGAAAACAGTACAGAAGTCAGGTACCCATTTTACACCTGGGTGGGAAGGGAAGGTGTGTCAAGTGCCTTTCTCAGGGGCACATTGTCAACATCTATCCACCAGCAGGCAGGTCAGAGATCAAACCAGTAACCTCTAACTAATGATATTTACCTTCACAGAAAGAAAACATATTGTTTTTGCTCTGTTTCTTCTTCCTCTTCTTCTCCAAACAAACAAACTCAATGACCTAACCAGACGTCTGTCAACATAGTAACTGGTGTTGGGTTACATCAAGTTGCAATTTTATAGCAGGAGGGATTTAGACCCCTGTTTGACCATATATATATGAATGTGTTTGAGTAAGAATTAACAGAGCACACCATATGTAAAGGTAAACATCATGCATTTGCTTTGCAAATTTGCTTTGGTTCATTATGTACAGATTTGTTTATTTGCATTTACGATCTGTTTTGAGTTCACTTATTTGTTTACCATTATTGTATATAGCCTACCTTTATTTATGTTCATATTTTGTTTGGATTCTGTTATCTGTACCTTTGATTCTCTTTTGTTTATGTATAATTTATTGAATCATATAAGCCCACACGGGCTGGGCGCGGGATAGCCTACGACATGGAAATAAAGTCATTCATTCATTCATTCATTTGTTACCTTTCTAGTTTGTGTCTTATATCTCACCTGGCTATCTCATTCTGTAGGGCGTTGACCCCTCTCTTTGGCATGAAGCCCAGTCCTCGCTGGGGGTCCGAGGTGTCGAATCTATCAATGTAATGCACGTAGGGGGACTGGTCTGTCACCTCATAGTAACGGATGTTACTGTCACCCTGGGAAAGGAAATACATTCATAGGAGCATGTTTATTTTAGAAATTAAGTACAAATTATACACTAAAACTACAGAAGGGCAAGAAGGACAGGTCTACATTGTAGATCAAGGCTTTTGATTGCTTAAATTTTTTTTCAAAATCAGAACTTAATGTCTTCAAACGTTTTACAGGTACAGGCATCAAGCACACAGCTCTACTTTCTAAGTCTGAATAATACAACTCAGGAACACCACTTGGCTACAATCAAACCTGACCACCAGTCCTGGCCATAACAACCAACAGGTCCAATTTCCTTTCATAGGTGCAAGCCAATAAGACCACCTCAGTCCCCTGGGTGGCCTTAAGCTTTTTGGTCAGGTTTGACAGTGATTACAACATTCCACACCAAAGAAAGTACCAGTGGACTAGCCCCTTTGTGTTGAAAACGGTGATGGGCGCCGCCCTGTGCATCACTTGATGCGAGAAGGCTCTTTAAGTTTAGCTTAAAACTAAGGAAAGTCCCAGTAGTTCCCGTACCTTGCCTCCCAGATACACCATGTTGTTGTCGGGATCGTAGAAGGGGAAGATGACTCCATTACTGGTGTCTATCTCCTCCAGGGTGATGGGCTCACTCAGGTTGTTCTGGACAAGGAAAACTCTGTTTAAGTATCAAGAAGTGCAGGACAAGTACAAATACATTTGTACATGTACAAGCTAAGTGTCCTTTCAGCAACAGTTACTGTACATTCAGCAAGTATGTGTATGTTTCAGTAATTGTCTGTGTGTGTGAGAGGGCATATGTGTGTGTGTGTGTGTGTAAGTGTGCCCATGTGTTTGTGTATTTGTGCGTGTATGTGTGTATTTGTATACTAGTATGTGTATTTTTGTTTATGTATTTGTATGTGTATTGTTTGTATGTATATCTGTGTGTGTATTTGTGTGTGTCTTTGTAAGGGTACGTGTGTGCATTTGTGTGTGTGTGTGTGTTTGCACAAGGCAAAAAAGATAACTCAGCATACACTTAATACTCTACATTATCAAACATAACATTATGCAAATTACATACATAATAGAAAATGCATATACACATGCACTATCACAGTACAGTAGTACATGACACACAGGATGTACAAAATGTACGTACATCGTCCCACAGTGCGTACTGCCGTTCACTCATCCTGGAGAACCCTGTTGTGAAGATCCGTCCGTCCTTCATGTACACAGCTCGCTGCGGCTTCGCTCCGTCATGGGCCTTCTTCTTCTCCTGAGAGGGGTGGAAAATACATATCAAAGTCAGTTTCATCAAAGAAGCCACGTGACAAGCTTCACTGGGTTGGTCTACTGAGGAAGACCAGAGTGACGGGTCGAAAGCTCTAGGTAAGAGAACTTTTTTGTGTTGGACCAAAAGTCTTACGGAACTGGTTTCGAAGCTGCTTATGTTTTGATGCCTTCCTCAGAGCTTGACTGGTTGGAGTACTTACTAGTATGATAGTATCCATGTTTGTGATTGTATTCTCGCCGCAAAAGCTCCACCTACATTGCCTACATATACATATAGCGGCAAGAAGCAGTACTCCGGTCAGAAGCTCTGAGGAAGGTGTCTGACATGCATTGAAACGTCAGCAGCTGAGAAAATTTAACTTCTTTCAATTTGGGAAGACACTGAGATACTCCTACATGTACAACTATATTTAACTTTAATTGTCCCATCCTACTCACAGAGATGACGTCCCCTGTGCGAGGGTCGATGACACGTAGTGTCTTGTCCTTGCATGTTGTGACGATGCGGGTTCCGTTGTAGTTCCACCCACAGGACCAGAGGATGTCTGTGTGACACTCGATCACAGACAACGGCTCCTCTGTACCCACGTTCCAGATCACTACCATGTTGTCCGAACCTAGGGTGATGTAAAAAAAAACATAACAGTCAGTATCTATACTATTTGCATGTTGTAGTTCCACCCGCATGACCAGAGGATGTCCATGTTTGTTTGTTTGTTTGTTTGTTTGACACTAGATCACAGACAGTGGCTCCTCTGTACCCACGTTCCAGATCACTACCATGTTGTCCGAACCTAGGGTGATGTAGAAAGTATTATAATTAATATTAAAAGTGTTTGACAAAATGTGTCTGTTCTATTCTGGTCTGAACAAGGTTCTACCACAAAGATCTACCACATTTGTGGAAGGATTGACGTAACAGCCAGGTGACCATGCCACCTTTTTTAAAGTATCAACCTGACGTGTACAGTTAGTCTAAGACTAGACTGTAAGGTTTGAACCACTCACACTGGAAGGACCCCTAGTCTTTTTGATAAGTGAGTAGTGTGTGTGTGTGTGTGTGTGTGTGTGTGTGTGTGTGTGTGTGTGTGTGGTTCGGACTTGCAAGTTCGGACCTGAACCTAAACCTCTGGACTCGAGTCCTGACCTGAACCTGAAAACGGGTTTAGGTAGCAGCACTAGGTCTGCTACAGATTTAAAGTTAGAACCTTTAGATTCTAAGTCAACAACCCTAACAACAAGACCATGATGACTGTCTTGTTATCACAAACAACCCTATACTCTTCTGGTCTGAACTTTAAAAGTTTTGGCAGCTTCTGAAGAGGGCCTGCAAGCCCTTTTTCATAAGGCCTAATCAGGCCGTTTTAGACTTCGTAATTCGTAGGCAGCCTCCGCAAAAATCAACGTAATTCGTAATTGGACATTAGCCGCAAATCTTAAAGTCGTAATCAGCTCTGAGACTTTAACGTAATTCGTAATGGGCGGCGAAAATTTTGCGTAATTCGTAATCACTACCCCCCCTTGAAGGCCCTCTCTGAACCATGGGCTTTCCATCCTTGCCCAACCCTCCCTACAGTAGCTGACAGGAAGCCTCTGCTGAGATTTAGTACCCGTCAAGGCTAAGTGTGTCAAGATGTGATCCTAGATAGCCGCAGTATCAGGTCATTACTACTTCCATGTGGGAATGCTACCAGCAAAAATGTCAAGGCCACTTTTCACTTCCATACAGCGATCGAGCTAGCCTGAATTTTTTTCCAACATCCCAGTTTTGTTTGACATCATTTCGAGTGCTGAAAGTGTGACAACAGTAGGGGCGATCTAGGGGTATGCTCACCTGGGAGAATGTTCATATCTTTGAGTCAAACTTGACCCAAAGCTGGTGTGTTACGCCGAAAGGCGGTTATACCGGCTATACAGATACAGATACAGACAGACCCTCTGAAAAACTATTTCCTGCATTTTCAATTTGAGGGGCAAATTTGGCTGGTAGACCAAGCTTAGATTAATTACATCTCTTTCCATATCTTTACACACCAAATTTTGTCCATCAAACTTCATTATGGATTGAATTTTACGTCAAATGATGAAAAGATGAGTGCTGGCTAGAACAATGTTTTCACACCACCTCAAACCTAAGTTTCAAAGACAAATATTTCTGTCACTTAAAAAGTCAAGTCTAGCATATCTACATTATGGCACTGAGGAAAGCATGCTCTTTCAATTAACATACAGAACTTGACTGTGCACTCAGCAACCTGTTAAAGTGTAGGGTTTAAAATTCCTCACAGTTTTCAAATTCTTGATGCCTTCCCTAATGTTTAAAGTCCTCCGTTAAGCCATTGGTCCATGTACAAGTATGTGGCTGCCTCAGGCATTAAACCTAGACACATTATAGAACTAAACTGTTATCAACAGGGATAGGTGTTCTTTAAGTGTGTATGCATCTGAATTAAGGTATTTCAGGCAGTATCAAATGATGTACGCCTGCTATTTGCTAAAAACTGTCATCTCTCTCACTTAATTAATGAACAAGAGGGACTCAGTGCAATTGGCTAAAAATTTGAGCAGTGGAGAAGCCACACTGAACTATCAGCTACCGAATTCGAAAAGCATCATGCTTCACCTGAATGGAGGATGACTGTTTTGCCATTTTCCTCTAAGTAACACATCTTTTTTGTTTTTTTCTTTTAATGCCCACAATCATGATAATGATCATTCTAGCATACTCATTAACACCTGAGCGAAGTGAGGAAAGCCATGTTAAGTGCCTTTCCCATTAGGGCACAAGGTAAGTGATATGGCAGGATTCGAACCCAGGACCTCTTAGTTCTGAGCCAAACGCTCTGCTGTTATGCCACACAACCCTACCAATATCTACCTCACATACTTAACCAGTACTTCAAGTTCACAGTCATCAGAAGACATGAGAGATTTGGCAAAAAACAGTTACTTCAGCAACTGGATTATGGTTTAGGAAACGGTCAGACATTTCAGGCAGCATCCACTAAGTTTTCGTCAGTGACACTAAAAGACTGCAGGAGAATTAGAGGTTTATTAGCACGAACTATGAGAGATTTGCAACAGGATAAATCTGGAACATTAAAAGCCGTGTCTATGTTAGGGGAACATACGGAGTTGCTTGGCAACTTTACCGACACCCTGTGGGAGGTGTGGGGCTGGTGAATACCTCACATAACTCTGGGCAGAAGGGGGAGGGGGGCAGGGCAGCATGACGTGTAATAGAGCAGGGACTTGACACCTTTCACCTGTTAAAGTTTAAACTTAAAGGTACAGGAGTAGCCTAGCAGGTCACAGGATACAGAACATGGAGTTGTTTTATGATATAAGTAATGCTTAAATGCCTAGGGAAAGGTGGTGTCAGCTGTGTTTAACAAAATCATTTAACAAACTAAAGTTTGAGTAACAGATTATATTCCTTTAATTTTTTTTTTGCCATGTAAAGACTTTTTTTAAGTGTTGGTATTTTTAACGTTTTATGTTTATTAAGTTGAAAATTGTTAAGATGGTGTTCCAGTAGCATGATTATTCAATGCTTACTGACAGGACCATGTCACAAACATTGTTATGGTTCAATCAAACATGGACTCTGGCCAAAAGATAACAAAGTCCTCTTCCTACACTAAAACTGATAAGGATGAGCAGATGTTTTCGTCGACTGTTTATTTTGGAAATATACAACAGTCAATTAGCACAAAGCTCTGTACTTCCCCCAGGCATATCTTTCCTACATGTAGCTCAGCTGCAATAGACAGTACCCTGTATACAACCTACATGTACAATGGTGAAGCCTGTGCTGAAAAGAAATCTTGGATCTACATCTGAATCTAAATCCTTATCTTCTCTCAAAGCTATCCACAAAATCTTGTTCTTCGTTCCAAGGCCTACCTTAACAAACCTGTATCTTACCTAGCTCAGCTGCAATAGACAGTACACTCCATACATTGCACAACCTATACTGGTGAAGTCAGACTGCTAGTAAAAAGAAATTTAGGATCTACATCTGAATCTAAATCCATATCTTATCTCAAATCTGTACACAAAATCTTGTTCTTTCTTCCAAGCCATACATACATTAAGACAGAAGAAGTATGGCTTATTTTGCAAATGCAGAAAGCAAAATACAAAGAAGCAATGTTACAATGGCAGGGACAAACATTATACAAAGGGATGGGCATTTTCCTCTGTATTCTATTTTTATCATCCTCTCATTGATTAGATCCTGGGCTTTTCCACTGTTAGAATTCCTACACTGACTGTATTTATGGAAAAATCAATTCAGCCCATGATTGAATTACATGTAGTTCTGCACAGTCACTCAGATAATCCTGAAGAGTGGTGACAGAAGTAATGCATACAAACCTTACCAGAATGATGACTCTCTAAAAGACTGGGTGTGCTTCCAAATTACATTGTTGAGATGATATGCTTGTCTTGACATCTCTACATGCTTGTTTCATGTTTGTTTCATTTCATTTCATACTAAATCCTAGTTCCATATTCATTCATTCATTTTGAAGTTTTATTTTTGTCAAATTTGTGAATTTCTATGTCAACTATTTTCCCACTGTCATCCGGCCAACAGACTCCTAACCAACTTGCTGCTGGCTCCCGGCCAGCTTCTGGGACCAACCTTCCTGTGCCTGACCTTTTGTGGTCTGTCAATTAACTGTACACATATACACACTCACTCACTCAGTCAGTCAATCACTCTCAGTCACTTACTTGCTCGCTCACTCACTCACTCACTCACACACACACACACACACACACACACACACACACACACATATACACGCACGCACACACACACACACACCAACCGACCTGCGCTCGTTGTGTGCTCAGGGGTGCCAGGCGATGAAGCCCACACGGCGCTGGTGCCACTCCAGCGAGGCTGCCACGTACACACACACCCGCGCACACACACGCTCGCATGCACGCGCACACACACACACACCGACCTGCGCTCATGAGTATGTTGTGTGCGGAAGGGTGCCAGGCGATGAAGCCCACTCGGCGCTGGTGCCACTCCAGCGAGGCTGCAGGCTCCGTGATGTACACACGCACACATTCACACAGACACAGACGCGCGCGTACATACACACACACACACATCGACAACCCACCTGCGCTCATGAGTATGTTGTGTGCGGAGGGGTGCCAGGCGATGAAGCCCACACGCCGCTGGTGCCACTCCAGCGAGGCTGCGGGCTCCGTGATGCTCTCCTCCATACCCTTCTCAGGAATCACCCACACCTGCAGGAACACGCAGTAAAGGTCAAGGAAAGGTCAAGGTCATTACAAAATTTTCCTGACCTTGACCTTTGACATCTACACCTGCAGTCAAGGCCAAGGTCAGGTCATAGTCACGACAAAGGTCAGGAACTCAAGGTCAAAAGAAAATCGTCCTGACATTGACCTTTGACATCTACACCAGCAAGACCCTACAGTCAGGGTCAAGGACGGGTCAAAGTCACTGCAAAGGTCAAAGGTCATTGCAGTCTAACTGGCGTTGACCTATGACAGCTGTGATTGTTTCCACACATACATATAAATATGGATTATAGAATCAATAGCAGTAGTATTTTTCTTTTCTAAACTGGGATTAATAATGTTTGTTGTTAGATTTTACATACATACAGACATACATTTTACATATATAGTAGTTAATTTTTCCTGTACCTTGACAGTCATGTCCTCAGAGCAGCTGGCAATGATGTTGTCGTCCCAGGGGCTCCACTGTATGTCCAGCACGGCGGCCCGGTGTCCAGCCACCATGGGGGGGTTGTTAGGCACTCGCCCTGCCTACAGGGGAACAACAATGTTTATATAGAGATTTGTATAACAATCATATAATAATGGCATACATATATATGTATATTTTTGTGAGATAATCAGCAGTGTCAAAAGAATGTGGCTACTAATATGCAGGCACTATATACATGTATATAGGCAGCATATAACACAAGGTACATCTACATGTACATGTATTTGAAATTGTAAAAGTGGCATTGGGACCAGAGTTTTAGTGGGTTAGAAATTCTAACAATCTTACAATTTCTATTCTGGTGAGATGACCAAATCTGTCAGCTTATTTCTTCAGTGTAATTAACCTTTAGCACACCAGTAGTCATTTGGCTTCAAAAGCTCTTATTGGTTATTTAATAAGGTTAGACACCAGGAAGAGATTGACTAAGACTGACTAAGAGACATGTACAGACTATCCCCCTAACAATATTTTTCTTGCCTTGCCTTAACAATACTAGGGGAATGACCCAAACACTTGGCTCTATTACTGTAATTCTTTTTATGTTCACGGTCTGAGAAAAATGGACATGTTCACGGAACTATATATTCACGGTGGCAACAGGTACAGGAAAAAGAAAGTCCAGGAATTATTTGTTAACTGTAATGATAAGTTCACTGTACAGAGGTGACAGTGAAAATAGTGAACATAAAAGTACAGTGAAAAAATCAGGAATTACAGTATAGTCTCTACCCTATGAGGCATGGAATATTTGGATGATTCATTTCCTGTTTTCTGACCTGCCTGCTATATTTAAAGCCAGGGTCACATATCAGATGAACACACCAAACACACGTCATTTGCACTGCATATTTCTGATGGATGTAGAAACAACTTACTAATACTACACTCCCTTTCCATTATAGCTGAGACCACTGAATGACAACGTATTTGACAATGAATTCATGTGTATATAATATAAGTCAATCTTTAACTTTGTAAATATCAATGACATTCAGGCAACATTGTTACATCTGCAATGCTGCTATGTCAATAAGGAATTTGTAAGAATTCGGAATTTGGATGAAGACGATGACGATTTTTTCTTTAGTGATTATGAAAATGTACAAAATGTAGTTTTTTCATAATTACAGAGTATGCATTTTTGTGCATTTTCATAATTATGCTTTTTAATATTACATCTTGCATCATAATACGTAATATTACCCAAATTATGGCACATAAGTCCAATTTTGGACGTTGTACAGTCGCTCAACAATCCACATCTAGTGAAATAAAGATAAAGCCATAAAGATGATTAGAGCAGTCTGAATGTTTGATATTGGAACAGACCCAGAGGCAGTTATATGAGGACATTCCTGTGCTAAATTAATAAGTACGTCCGCTGAAGCTGGTTTGTATGCCCGGGCTGTTGTCTCTGTATTGATTTCAGCTGAACTACCTGCCCTGTGAGGTCTGCCAGTGATTATGTTCAGAAAACGGAAAAGCAGCACTTTGGCCGAGCGACAATCCAACAACTCAAGTCAAGGGCACAAATCTTGACATGCAGATTGTTTTGAAAGATGAATATGTACATTAGGATGCTATAATTCAATACATGTATATCTATCGAGACTATCAGTATCATACTTATCACATTTGCCAAAAGATTTATTTACTTGTATTGATGTATATCTATATGAATTATGATTTTAGAACCTTTAATCTAAACACGGATAGTGAGTGAGTGAGTGAGTGAGTGAGTGAGTGAGTGAGTGAGTGAGTGAGTGAGTGAGTGAGTGAGTTTAAATTCCAAGAATTTTCAAGCAAATTTTGAAAACAACGAGGTATGGTAACTTGTTCCAATACTAGTCAGACACTAAACACAAACAACACTGACTGAAAAATAGTGTGATTTAGCTAAATACCGGTTGGAAGAATAATTTGCAGGGGAGTCTGCATTTGCCCTGCAATAGGAGAAAAGCTGGATCACTCTAGATCTACTGCTCAATTCTGACCCTATTTCTGCAGAATTGTACTATCCATAACCCGTTAGGAGGCCTGGTGGAGTATAGGTAACCCTGACATACAGGGCCTGGTGGAGTATAGGTAACCCTGACATACAGGGCCTGGTGGAGTATAGGTAACCCTGACATACAGACTCCAGCTACTGTAAATAGCACCAGGTGACCTGGATCCTTCAGTCTGCATACTTTTGTGTTATATACTGACACACATGTGTCCAGTCTTATGTCATATAGGGCAGGGTTTTTAGGTGACCTCCTTGTATCACTTTGGCAGAACATACTGCGCCTGCTCAAAACTTTGATTTAAATTTATATAGGACAAGGAAACAAATTGGCCTTGCCTATTACTAGTACATAAACTACAATGGCAACAGAAATTTACTAGCTGTTGTAATACTATTGAACTTGAAAAAATCTATTGATGGTCTTAGTGCCATTATCATAATTTATTACCCCTGTCAATGCAAGGACGTCATATGTTTGAGTAGCATTGGTAAATGGATTGTGAGTTGAACATGGTAACTCATGAATAACACATATGATATACTATTGTAAGACCACCGCCTACATGTATGAAACATGTAGGTGTTGGCCTTACGAGTCATGCATAAGAATATTCTGTCAGCAATAGAATTTACAATGATGATGGGGGAGGATACTAACATAATACAGAATAATTACAGAAGAGGTTTTTCTAATTTTATTGACTGTTTTGCCTGCTTATAGTACATGTACGTCTGTTCTGAGGTACTTTCAACACAGCAATGCACTCTAGGGAAAATACTCATTTGAAGGGAAATACTACACTCATTCGTACATTGTATTTTAATATCTGTGTGATAATTTCTGTGTTAGAATTTTGTATTAACTATGAAGCCTAGCTATAGCCAGATGTTTCATGTCCTAACTCGTACACATGTTTGAAGTGTCTACATTTTCAGCAACCAGGTCACCAAAATCTGGCTGGTCACACAATAAAGTCATTTTATATGGACATGGTGGTCAGACTGGGGCACAACTTATCATAATACATGTCAGAGATGGAGGCTGGGGAAGAAACAGGAGCTAGAAATCTACAGTACAACATAACAGCTGCCAGCTAAAGTATTGAAGTTTGTTATTTTAGTGTGTTCAAATTTATAAAATTTACTGTGAGTGTGATGGGTAAGGCAACTGGCACAACCTTAAGCTTGCAATTAAAAAGTTTAAATTTTAAAACTACTATTGACATATGTGTATGTTTAATTTCATCTCTCAATCGTGTAAAATGCACGTACATACAACATATATTCCTTGCCTTTTGGGTACATTTCCAAGCTCAAAATAAGTCGAATTGTCGCCTATCTACCTTTGTCATATCATATGTACCTTTGCCTATCTACCTTTGTCATATCATAATTTTTTTTTATGTATTTAACACCTTGGAACAGCACTTAGACAATTACACTCACTCAAGTAAAGTCTTGATCAGGTGCATAGAAGAGAGACCATCACTTACAAGCTATAGCTGACATGCAATTGACAGAAAAGAGCATTCCAGGTCCTGCTATTATGGATGTTGTTATGAAACAGCTCACAGGCTCTCTAAGTGGCGTACATGAGTCATAAAGGGAGGCTGGTAAATGGTTGTTTAATGGTGTGTAGAAAATACATGTAGTCTCCACTCACTGGCCACACCAAATATGTCCAACATCTCATGTATGTGTAATCAAACTATTGACCTTAAAAGAATATGAACACTAAGACTACATGTATGTATATCATTATCCTACAGTACTGAATTTATATATTTTTTTTTACTTTTCCAGTTTCTTACAGTATATTACAAAGCCTGCCAAATATATATTTTACTAACAACAAAATAATGGATGCTACACTTGACAAAACAAATGTGAACATTGAGATTAGTATTCTACATAATGTAAATTATCATCCTACAAAGTACTGTATTTAGATTTGCTTTACTTTTCCAATTTCTTAAATGTAAACATTCATTTGTCCAAAGCCTGCTGTAATAAAAATCAGCTGTATACATCTTGCTAATAGCAAAAAAAGTATGCTGCAGTGCAGCACTTTACGAAACAAAAAAAAAAACAAATATGTCAGATCAAGCACCAAATTTTGAACATATGATTTAAAGCCATCAGTTATGGATATTGACATGTAAATTTATTTTATCCCCCATGATGAAATTATATCTCATTTAGGGCCGTTTTTTATTCATACCTCATCTTTGCCTTTCACAGTACCAAATCCTTTTCAATCTCTGTCCTGTGGACATATAACCAATTTATACAATATGCCATCTACCGACCACTCTAATCAGAGCTAACAAGTTTAAATCCGCGCACACGGACGGAAGAAATCCACCTGAAACGCACGACAGGAAAATTAGCGACCACAGAAACGCTAGCCTCCGTAGCAGGCTTATAGAACTGGGGGTTTGGTGGTCTTCGGCTGTTTTCTGATAAACGGGGGTAATTCAACCAGGCCAGCTATGTTGTCTATATGCAATCAAAATTTTAACTCCATGCTATATGAAACCAGAAAATAGCACATAAAAGCTCCCAAAGCTCAGGCCCCCAAAACCCCCAGTTTTTGGCATGCTATGGAGGCTAAGAAACGCGTGTGATGGCCTGAAATGTAGAGATAAACACTACAGGAAGAGCCCTTCCTCGTGTAATGTAGTCAGCTGGCTCCTGTGAGGAAAGGGACCCATCTGGCCATATTTGGGCATATCTGCTGTACAGAGCGCGAGGCTCATTTGAATTATAAATGCTCCACTGACTGCTGAGGCTTCGGGGATGAATGGAACAAACGTCAACCCAAACTTTCACCCCGAATCATGGCATTAATACATACAGATCAGCTTCCACACACATGTACATGTAAACAATCTGTTACACAGAATTAGATTTCGTTGTTTTCATTGTGTTTTTATGTAAGGCGGTCATTCATATATGGAGTATATGCTTTAGGCCATTATGATTACGTGATTTTGTTGAAGTTTAATTATAGTTATACATACAGATCAGCTTCCACACACATGTACATGTAAACAATCTATTACACAGAATTAGACTTCGCTGTTTTCATTGTGTTTTTTTATGTAAGACACAGTCATTCATGCTGTATGGATATGGGTAAGGCTGTGATGATTACGCGATTTTGTTGACAGTTCAATTTTGACAAAGGCTTGCTGGATTTAAGCTATAATACTTACACATTTCATCAACAATTACATTTGCCATTCACAAATTTGGTTAACTCTAAATTGAAAATCCATTGACCGATTCTAACTAGTACTGTTACTGTTAGCATCTTTGAAATAGTGAGCTAGGACTAGGTATTTTCATGGTGACATAATATTCATTCATGTTATTCCCATGTTAATAGGAATATGTAAATACAGATTATACGATCATTCATACAATGCCATCCAGGTCTACGTTTGCAAATTACCATATATTCTCTGATTTTCAAGTCACTGTTTAGGCCTTCTTTTTTTTTCAAACTTTTCTTACTTAACTATCGTATTCTACTTTCCAAATTTGAAATTTGCTGTTGTTTCTCTTTCATATCTGTTTAGTCTTTTGATTTTTAATCAATAACATATTGCATGAACCTTTATCCCCTAGGGCGTAGACATGCAATAGGTATCAATTATCCAATGACCCTTTACTGAAACACAGTCATTCTGTATGCAATAATATCCTAAAATTACTTAATTAGTAGTAAAAATGTCTAATAAAATCTGCACTCTTGTACACAAAGAGCCAGGTAAGCCACTCCAGTATTGAAGAGCAAAAATGCATAACTTAAAACGCTAACCCACAATTCAGCCTCACCAAACCGTGACGTTTGTGTGTGCTTTTGGTCAACAATCAACAATGGCAAGCAAACTCAAACAAGCTGAAAGTAAGATAAGTCAAAGAATAAAACATCTTTATTCCTAATTATAGAGCAATGAAATACTATTCCTAAACATAAAAGCATTTTCAATGAAATTTCTTTCCATTACAAATTGTTAGTGAATACTATTTTCATTATAAAACTGCAAAAGGTTCAACTCAGTTCAGAAAAGAAGATTATTCCACAGAAAAATTAAACATGTGATGTTCTTCCTGACAAGTGACTTGTCTTCCTTTTCCTCTCTTCTTACTACAATTCCTTACCAAAATATTTCCATCCACAATACACTCATTTCCAGTTCCTGTCCTGCTCTAGTTCTAGCCAGGAAAGAGGGGCACAGACAGGAAACTTGGTGGACAGTGGACACACGATACTTTAGGATAATCACCGGAAACTCTTAGATTGAAGTTAGAAGAAAAAAAACTTGTTTTCTGCCATCAAAGAGTTTGCCACGCCACAAAACATCATAATTGTAATTACAAAACACCTGGATTTTTGAAAACGTGACATTCTACCCCGTTGTTCAACTTTATTAAGTGTGGGAGTGGTGGGGTCAAAGTTCAGTGTGATTGAATCTTGTGATCCTATGACAGGTTTTGGGAGGGGCAGTTTTGGAACATGTGAATCCTGTCTGCTAAACATAGTCTAGTCCTGAGACACTCACAACTTTACAGATATCACAAATCCTGGTTTCGGAATTTTCGCAGGTAATTCCGAACTCAATAAACTAATTAAGTGTAACGAACACAGTGGAATGCTAAGTATTTGGGAACATTGTGGACTCAAAAAAAGCGGGAAGGTTTCATTGGTTGGACCGGGGTGTGACAGGGTTCTATTCTCAAACAGTCTGGCAGGCGGGGACCGATATCTAAGGCCATATTAGTGTCTGTGGCCCACACTAGAGCAAACATTACCGGGTTACGGTTCCAGAGCCGGCCGTGTTCTGGGGGAGGGGGGCGGGTATATTGACACACTATAATAAATCATTACGTACGGCTACGAATGAAAGAATGGCGGACGCACGATTCGGAACGATGTATGTATAACACGCACGTAGAAAGGGAAATTGTGGAGTGAATTTGGGGATTTTTACGTACCTTTTCGATGGGTAAGACGAGGAAACAGCCTCCGCCGGCGGCCTCGGTGACTATGGCCAAGAATTTAGGGTTGACAGCGCAGAACGTGGAGTCCCAGGAGTTACGGGTGACTCGGATCCCCTCGTAGTGGGCGTCCTTTCGCATCGCCGTGCCGAAGACATGGCGGAACTTGCTCGTGCGAAGACCTCGGAAGGACATCTGGCCGTCTTCTGAAGCCAAAGACTGCGAGAAATGTGATAGAACGGCGTTGAACTATCTACGATATAATCCACTGGACCGGCAGGTTGAAAAACGGGGTGGCGCTCTCTCATCGGACCCTCCGGAAGTAAACCTAGCTCTTGCCACGTAACCGCTGATTCGAATCCGCCACCCATTACTAAACATTCATCAGCTCATATATAAAAGTAGAATCATCAATTTTAATCAATTTAACACATTTTCTAATCATAAGATTTGATATTAGAGATTTTATTACTACTTTAAGTATGCTAACATTATTTCAGATTCGAACTGTGACACAAATAAGAGAATATTTTTACAGCCGGTGCCCTTTGACCCATATCGTATTTCCCACATGGCGAAAATGGGGGAGGGTCTCGGGGAGACAGGACCCGGTCAGGGTCGGCAGAATTTGGAGCCCATGGGGCAAGATTTCGCCCGTTTAACGCAGCTAGTGATAGGGGAAAATCGTTCGCATCAGTTGGTGCCGCCTGCGACGCCCTTCGGCGCCCAACAAGCGGTCAGAACCAAGGAAGAATTGCTGATACAAAACACCATGGAGAGCTGCGGTTTCAAAACAACGTTCGCCTGCGCCGCCGGTAAGTATAAAAAATGTTTGAATGAAAAAAATAATAATAATACCAAACTTACCCTTCTTCTGGGGACACGTCTGGGTTTGGTTCTTTTGTAGTCGTTTTGTGATTCGGAAAACCTCCGTTGCACCTCCGCTAGTCTTCTCTCCACTCGGGAAGGTGGGTTGGGGTCAGCAGCAGCGTAAGAAGACCTTGACTCAACATTTTTGTACGAAGGCCGCGGCGGCTCGACGTGGTTGAAACCGTACGATCGCGGTGGTTCCGTGAACGCCTGCGATCGCTGCTCAATAAAAGGCTCTACGCCAGAGATCGTACGTCTTCTCGGAGTGCCAGGGCGGGATCTCGGTGTATTCGGGCGCGACCGAGGCGTCAGCCCAGCCGTTGGTGTGTTGGGCCGAGAGCGGGACGTATACGTCGGCGTATTCGGTCGCGAGCGAGTCGGCGACTGACTCGGTCGGAACGTCCGTGGCGGTGGCGTCGGCGGGCGCGGCCTCTCTGCCTCCGGCGGCTTCGTGACATAATAATACCCATCCTCTCCCTCCATGACCACTATAGGCACTCCCTCCTGGCCGTCGACGTAGTAGTAATATTCCACAGGCTGCGTTGACGGTGTGGTGTCGTAAGGGTAGAGGTACTGATCGGCCATTCTTGCGTGCCCCTCCCGAGGCGGGCTGTTGTTCCACGGCGCTGCGTACTCCTTTATGGCACTGCGGTGGCTATATGGCCTGAGCGCCATAGCTATGTCGGAATAAGTCAAGGGCAGACACCCTTACCACCAAAATAACAACATATCAAATGTTGCAGTGTTTTGTTTCCAAACTCTCGATGGCTCCCAGTACCAGGCCTGCTTTCTCCATCGGAGCAAGATTTTTTATGGAAACACGGCCTGCTAAAAATGGAAGCGAAGAAAATGCTTTTAATCTCTCGCTCTTAAAGCCTTGTATTCGATAGTTATGAGTCCACATCATCAGACAGACTGTACTGTATAGGGCAAAGAATGTAAGGCCTGGCAGGACCGATCCTTTAACTCCTGGATAGTCCCTTTTTGGGGGTTCCCCTTTTTTTTTAAAGTAGAAAATCATCCACTTTCACCCATTTTGAGAAAACTTGAACAAAAAGTTTGTCACATTCTATGCTACTACAGGAATGCACCAGTCACACCTCTTGTATAATGTTTCTTAATAATGAGAGGACAAATAATTTTTCTTTAACTAAAAACATCCCCACAATGATAGTGGCCTGTCCCTACTGACAGTGAGAAGATGTTACCCAGTATCATGTTACCCTGACACAATTCCTCTTGTCATAGAAACATGTTATTGCAGCCTTCCGACACGACAGGACGTCAATATATATCCTCATCCTTTAGGCAAAATGTGACAGAAACACTGCAAATATATGTCCTAGTACATAAATTTCCAGGACTTATGTCCATTTTTGTGAAGATTTTACATACAGATATGGTTTTCCATGATTCAGCTATCAAATATGTATGTAAACAGCGCTACGTGACAGTTGACAGATGATAACCATGCCAGGCATTTTGTGTTTCTCTTGTATCGCTGGTCTTTCAACACTGACTTCCCTTAAAGATGCATCTGTATCAACTATGGATTACGAAGTCAAAACATCACAATACAGATCAACATTTCTAGCGAATCTTTTATATACCAAGGCTTTTCTTAGCACAAGTAATTACTACTAGTAATTGAAAACATTTGCTGGTGAGTATAACTGATAATGTCTCTATATTCTATAATTCCTGTGTCCATGTTTACAACTTTGGCAAAAGTTTTTCTCGAACTACATCAGATGTTTGTTTCCATTGATAAAACTGATCAAATCAACTTTCATTAACATACATATGATCATTTCACTTGAATTATATAATACACATAATGTGGGATCATGTGGCATAATGGCAAAATATTTGTCTCAGAACTAAGAGGTTCTGGGTTCGAATCCAGCCTTGTCACCAACCTTGTGCCCTTGGGGAAGGCGCTTTACACAACTTTTCTCACTTTGCTCAGGTGTTGATAAGTATGCCAGAATGATCATTATTATGATCATGTGCATTAAAAGAAAACCATACACAATTTTTACTGAGAAAAATTTTTTTTTTGTCTTGTTATCCACAGGTTTTGTACTTGGAGGAGCCTTTGGTCTCTTCACCGCTGGTCTGGACCCTAACCTTGGCTTTGACCCAGCCAAACACGGCGCAGACTACCAGCCCTCGGCACGAGAGGTCCTGCGTGAGATGGGGACCAGAGGAAAGTCCTACGCAAAGAACTTTGCTGTCATTGGAGCCATGTTTGCTGGAACTGAATGTTTGATTGAGTCGGTGAGTAGTACTGATTTTATTGCTGAAGAAGTCTGGATGCCAGACTGCTGTCAGGGGAAAACAAGTACACAGGCCAGCCCCTCAGACCTGTTCCTAGTACTAACTAAGGGGTATCTATGGTAAAATTTCCTTGTGGCTGTTGGCTGGCCCTGGCAACAGTCTGGCACCCAGGCTAGCCCAGGAGCTATTGGATACTTTATGTTCTACCTAACCATGTCTTTTAGAATTAGTTTCTGTGAAATAACTTAAAGATGTGCCAAAATTACATACAGTATTGTCATGTTCAGTCTGTACCTTTGACTAAGTAAACTTTCCAGTCATTGAATATGTGTGATGCTTTCTATGTGAAACACCCTTCAATGACACTCATGAATGACCTCTTCTGTTCCATGTTTTTCCCCCAGTACCGAGGAGTGAGTGACTGGAAAAATGGGACCATGAGTGGCTGTGTCTGTGGAGGAGTCATCGGGTTGAGAGGTAATTAAGGAGCTGCAACATTAAGACACTAACTGTTCACACAGGTTTTCTCAAGTTTTTCCATAGTCTGGGTGCCATCCTTTGTAGCTACTGCCATCTCTCTCTCCATGATTGGTGAGCAAGAGAAAATAGAACTGGCAGTATCTGCAGAAGATGACAACCTCAACACTTATATGTTATAGAGTGTTTAGAGTATATGTAAAAATCCATTGTGATATTCTGAGAGCACTGTTCAACTATGCAAATGTTTGACAATGCAAACTGTGTTCTGATAGCGTTATGAAAATCTCTTGTTTGTTCCTTTATTTTCCAGCTGGAATCAAGCCAGGGATTCTGGGCTGTGCAGGTTTTGCAGCTTTTTCCTCAGCAATCGACTACTTCCTCAGATAGCAATGTTTATGTCCGAAGCTATTTCATAATACACTGTACCATGCTTCGATTCTTACACTATGTGCAAAATTGTTTTCTATAAGTTAATGTATAGATGATAACTATTAGAACTGCTGTTGTTTTTCTAGTAGCATTAAACTAACAAGGATAGAAATATATGTACATACAGTACATAAGAATGATAACATGCTAGTACTGTACTTATTTTTAAGCAGTATGAAGTCAATATGTTAGGTGTTATTACATTGATATGATACTAGTGTAAATGATGATAATGAGCTAATGTCTATTCCAACATTGTCAAGTTTTGATTATGTGTATGATATTTACAAAAGTTGTCAAAATTTGTATCATAGAGCCTAAGAGCTTGTTGCTGTTGCATTGTCCTTTGCAGCATTAAAGAAAAAAAAAATATTCATACTTTTTGCCAGTGTTTCTGTTGTTTTATACTCATGATGCAGGTTAAAGTTGTTCTAAATGAATTCACTATGAAAAACAACATGTGAGTCTCACAGATCATAGATAATGACTTGCAAAGAAGACCCAAAGAAATAGCTATGACAGAAGTTTAATTTCAATACCATATGGAATCAGAATGCAGAGTCAGTAACTGTAAAGGTGTTTGGCAGTAGCCTAGAAATATTGCTATGACAAATTCAAACTGGCTAGGGGAAAATGTATGCTGTCGGTATTGAGGTATCAGGTGGCTGTAATGGTCTTGGTCTCAAACTCCTAGTTTGACAATAGAATATGGTTAAAGTTTACCGTAGTTTGACATTTGATTAGTTTATCTTGAAATGCAGATTTAGCATAAATGCATGTACAAATAAATAGAATTGTAGATTATATAAATAATCAAAGATTTGACGTAGTAAATAAATACATTATGTTTTCAGTGTCCCGCTTGGACTATAAATATGTATAATTAGCCTGGGTAACACTGCAGTTACCACGTGTTAGCTAGGTACAAGAGCTAATGTATAGTAGCATTGTTAAATATGAACTCTTCTGTTTGTTCCTCTTTCTGACGTTGACATGCTTGGTACACTAAATAACTAAGACAAAAGTACAAACTATGCACTACTAGCAAAATATATTAAACTTTCTAACAATGTTTCTTATTGCAGCTGCAGTACTATGCAGCAACGGTTTGGTTTTATGAATCGGTAATGCCTTATTTGAAAAATTACTAGTAGTATCCGAAGTCTGCTGTAAAACATGATATTTCCAGCCCAACACAAACTAGACTGCCGGCGATACCGACTTCCAACGACCTTTGACCAATTGCCGTAGTCATGTGTCTTTGAGGGTCACGTGACCAAAGTGGTGGGTCATTCATCTTAGAGAGGGTCGTAGTGAAGGAAAAAGTTCGACATCGTGTGAAGGATTGACGTTCACGAATCTGGTTGACAATTCCTGGTCAAAGCCAGGCTCGTAAAGACTAATTCAAGCCTTTCTAGGTTTGAAGCAGATACTGTATCTATCTGGCGCCATGACGACCCCGTACCGCCCCTGCAGACTTGGCGGTGAAACCCCGTGCGGCATCTCCAGGCGGAAGTCCCTGAGGATCCGCGCCGTGAAGAGGAACAGCTCGGCCTTGGCCATGGACTCCCCCAGACAGCCGCGACAGCCGGCCAGGAACGGCAGGAAGCTGCCACCGCGCACCAGCTGGCCTGTCTTCGGGTCTAGGAAACGTGCTGAGGAGATGGACAGATAACATGATGTAGTAAGTATATGATCATGAAAGTTCATCTTTGTTGGTAGTACATGTTTAAAGTTAAAAGTGCCGCCGCGGACCAGCTGGCCTGTCTTGGAATCTAGGAAACGTGCTGAGGAGAAACACAGAATACATGAGCCGCCATTTCACTGATAATGATTTTAATGACACATATAGAGACCACTTTTCTCAAATCCTTCTTTTAATATTAGTGCAGGACTAGACATCACCACCGCCTGGGTGGCAGCCAGAGACAGGCAGACCTGGGGGACCATATGCATACGCTACGCCCCCTGGAGGGGCATGCGGAGCTGAGTGAGTGAGTGAGTGAGTGAGTGAGTGAGAGTGAGTGAGTGAGTGAGTGAGTGAGTGAGTGAGTGAGTGAGTGTGAGTGAGTGAGAGTGAGTGAGTGAGTGAGTGAGTGAGTGAGTGAGTGAGCGCGTGAGTGAGTGAGTGAGTGAGTGAGTGAGTGATGCTTACAGCCTCTACATTGCCGCTTAAGCAGGAAGAAGAATATGTAGGTGTTTCAATGTTGCTATTGACCCAAACTAGAACGTTAACCACAGAATGCGTCTATACTTCCTCAAGTTGTCAGTGTTACACATCGTAAACTTCAAGTTATCTGTGTTCTTCACCTGGATTGAAAGTTGCCGGATCTGTCCAGTGGCGCTCGTCATGGTGAATCGCCCACAGGTTAAACATCACACGGGTTCCCTGGGGAAGGTCGAAGTCTCCAACTCTGGAGAAAACACAGAAGATGAGTTCTTTGAAAAGGACGAAGAAGCTGGACCTTAATGATGTTAGTTTATTGGATAAGGGCAATGCTCCACAGTAGAGTAGCTTTTGTGACAGTACGTCGATAGTGTCATTTTTGGTAATCTCCAAGCAGATTCCGTGGGACAAGGGGAAACTCTCCTTACCCCACGGAATCTGCTTGGAGATTAATGTTTGGTAGGTACGAACTGTATTCTGAAGGCTGTAGTGTTTATGTTCATCATAACAAAGCCTTTCAAGAGTATATTCTCTTCCAAGCTTCAGAGGCAGTTGGAACGGAATAGACATTGGTCACCAGACTGAGGATAGTTTCAGCACCAAGGACAGGTCTGCTCAACAGGCTGGGGATACAACATGCAGTTCAATAGAGCAAAATGTACTTACGAGGTGTCCCTGATGGTTTTGTGTGGAATGGCGAGCGGCGCCACGGGTCTCATCCGGAGCACCTCTCTGATGGTGGCCTCCAGGTACGGCAGCCGCTCCCGGTCACACAGACGGACAGGGTCGTTCGCGCACAGAACCGTCTGCAGCTCCTCTTGGATCTGCGCCTGGACCTGAAGGGAAGACCAAAGACGGTGGCCTGGTTACCAGACTTATTTTAGCTATTTGCGGACAGGATAAAGATTCTATTGATGGGCAGAAATTTTGCCTCAAAGAAAGACGACTAGGACCCTTAGGGTCAGAAAGGAGCGTAAGAGGCTCCGGAAGAACATGACATAGAGCATACAGAGGGTCGATATATATATATGGTGACACTAGTCCAACTCTGTCCTGAAACTTGCAACACAATGTAACCCAACACCATAAGGTGTCTGCTACAGTACCAGTTACCATGGTGACAGCCGTCTGGTTCAGGTTATTCGTTGACCTTGTGTGTTTAGAACGGAAGGAGAAGAAGGAGAGACAGAGCAAAATGCCCACCTCTGGATGATGCAGGAGGAACGCCAGGATCCACCTGAGGGTGGTTGTAGAGGTCTCCATGCCTCCGCCGAACACGTCGTTCACCGTGGTGAGGATGTGCTCGTCGCTCAGGTACCGCTGAGCCTTCCTGCCGCCCTCCGCAGCCGCCTCCGCTTGAGCCTTCAGCAGGGCGTCTACCAGGTCCTGGGGCGCACCGGCCTTGTAGGACACCTGAAGGATATTTACACGATAAGAACTGCTTTATGTCATAAAGACTTAGAGACTAGATTAAAGCTAGCCACACAGTATATCAACATCCGAAAATAATTTTATCGGAAGTTTGGCAGATATAGGAAGTTTCTTCTTACCCTGTGTTGTTCGATGTTATTGTTGAGCACACTGTCTCTGGTCTTCAGACATGCCTTCATCTTCCGTATCGTGGCGTTGGGAAGCTTCTGTAGAAAAAATAAGGGCACCGCGTTCAAAAGTATTCAAACGTTCAACTTTCTTTTTAGACAAGCAAATGTAAGATATTCATTTTCAGTGCTTACTCCAACAGGAATGGCTTGCAGCTAGCGCTAACCTCACAACATAATAAAACAAACGGTGACGATAAAAGGAAACCATAACATTTTACCGAAAAAAGAAAACAACAAAATCTTTCCCACAGCATATGTCGACTTTAGATGAGTACTAGAGTCAGCTGCAGTTCGCGTTAACCCGTAAGGGGGCGCAACCTACCGCCAGCCACGGAAACACGTCTATCAGCCCGTCCTTCCCCACCGTGTCCACCAGCCCTTCGTTGTACCCGATGATCGTCTTCAGTTCCGCATCTTCCGGTTCGAACCGCTTCCCGAAGCAGATAGAACTGATGACGTTCCCGACGACCGTGTTGAGCGGGAGGTAAGGGTCGAGGGGACGTCCCGAGGAATCTCTGAGATACCCGCACAACCAGTCGGCCTCCTGGCTTATCTTATCTTCCAGTTGGAGCATTCCTTGCCCGAACATCTGACGTAGGGAAGAGAGAGAGAACTTTGATCACCCAGTGTCCCTAGCTAAAAGTCTTTATCAACGATGATACTAGTGTCATGCATTTCCAACAAGATAACCTATCTTCGTGTATATTCAGATAAGTCAGAGCCTAGCAAAGCAGTTAGGTAGACTACGATTGTACCTCCACGTCATTTTTCTAAAGTTAACGGTTGAGATACCATTGGTATCTTAAAATGAAGCAAGATAAAGATACCAGAGTTGGTTTGCTAAAGGAGTGCAGTTTATTGCTTTGGCTTCTGAAGCCTGGTCGAGGCTCGGAATGTATGTTTTACCAGAAGAATCAGCTGCCCAAGCGTTAGGTCTAACCAAGGAGGTTATTACATATTAACCTCCTTGGTCTAACCCTTGGCCAACGCTAGATCTACAAAATTCAAACCCCTGTGGCCAGTCTGTACAGCTTCGGTTTGCATCAAAGTTGTCTAATGTAGACTAAAAGAACCGACCTTGAGCGCGTTGTGTGTGAGCTTCTTGTGGACCCTCCAGCCCCTGCCGTAGTCCGCGAAGGCGATGCCCATGCCGCTGTTGGACAGGAGGTCGGTGGTGGGGAGGGGGGCGCGGCCCGCAAAGTCGTCCCCGCTCTTCACCAGGGCCTCCTTAGCAAGGTCAATGTCGCTGATGACGACAACAGGCTCCTGCCCGAACCTCACCTAAGAAAAATACGTTTCATACACAATTAAAGAACATGTTGACAAACATCATACACGTTACTATAACGTTATATGACGTTACAAGAAATGAAGTGAAATAACACTAACATGTAGGCATATAGGAAATGTGATACTTGGTGCTGGTCGTATGTACTTGGGTATTTCACGAACAGTACATCATAATTAATCTTGGATAATGTCCAAGAAGCAAGCAAATGAAGATACGGCAAGGGACTGTGCTACCTCGAGATACTTTTCGAAGAGGAGCAAAGGGCCTAATCTCTAACCATTGGTGCTAGGCAGGCAGTAGCCATCGGTGGCCAATGGATACTGCCTTGCCATCGTATGATCTGCTTGGAGATTATTAGGGCACTTCGGGCACTTAATGAGGTATATGCAGGTACGCAACGTATAAGATCTGACAGAATGCATGAATGGCAGAGTCATCAACCCTACCTGAAACACGGTGCCGAATTTCCGTGCCATCTCCGTGAGCCGGATGTGCGGGTCGGCGCCGGCCATGTCCAGCAGGTTCCCGATGAGCGGCAGAGGCCACGGGCCGGGGGGAGAGTAGAGCTGCCGCTTCTTCTTCTCACCAAATATCAGCCAGTAGAGCAACAACAACGAAGCCGCCAGCATCCCGATTTCTACGAACGAAATACACGAAACTATCAACAAAATTCATCTCTGTGTATCATGAAAGTTCATCTCTGTGTTATTGGTAGTTACATAAGTTAGAACTTATCCAACACAACAAAATTCTCTCACCTAGAGCTTTCGACCAGTTACTCTGGTCTTCCTCAGTAGACGAAATGCACGATAATAATGACTGTAGAGGCAGCATGGTAGATGAATCTGAAAGCAGCGAGTTGAAGAATGAAATCGTCGAAGCTGAGGATCCTAACTCTGCAGAGCCAGCTGCAGTTAATATTGAACTGAAAAGATGCTCGTAGTTTTATAGGCAGTTGTGTCTGAAACTCTTCCTGATTCGTCTAATTGGCTACGAGGTAGTAGGCATGTTATAGGCTGGTGAAATATTGTAGACATGTTTCAGTTTCTGTCGTCTGGAAATGGAGGTTGGAGTGTAGTCTTGCACGTCATCATATGTTGTCTATAGGGGATAGTCCCAGTTTGTTGAACGGGTGTAGACATGTCTGAAAAAAAGCTGGCTGAGTAGAAGTTTCCTGTACGTCATGCTTATTCTTGACAGTCGGTAAACAGAAATAAATCTAGAATAATGCATCTTTTCTTCAGCAACAAAATGTTGCTCTACCTTGTAAGGGAGGTCATTCCGTCATAATTATCTACAAATGTCGTAATAGCTATAAGAAGACAGTCAAATCACTGAACGTCATACGGAAACTAATGACCTAATACTATACACCGACGACGACGTATAGACTGTTATCAATTGCGGTTATCAAGAAGATCCCAACATTGCATCATCTTAGACGTCTATTTAATGAGAGACATGTGAATCAAGTTTTTGAAAGGCAAGGACATGACAGCTAAGAAGGATGTTGTAATTTGCATGGGCTATCTAAGATGTTAGACATCAAGGTAAAGAATAAATACATTGCACAAAGTAAACAGCTGGATAAGGTATATAAGAGAGTATAACTTTTCACAGTTCGCCGGTGAAAGACAGTGTCTAAAACAGCTCATCGCTCTTTTAGAAACCTCACCATTCTTCGGTCGTTTGATAAGACCTTGTGTAGATATGCGAAAACCACACACGTGGAAAAGACGCCTTGGTCTTGTGCCAGAAGCCAGCTGGGAACAAGGAGGACATACAGCTGCTGGATGAAGTGATTTAGTGTGGCCAATGCAGGGATCTGACCTACCTGTGCATACAGGTCTTCGGACTAATCCTTCCCTAGATTGGACCATGTTACAAGGGAATTAATCTTAGAGAGCAGTAATTGTTTTCTATCGCCAGAGGGAGGTGCAGAGGTTGTGGACTAGTTTGCTGAGCGACGTATCAACCACCGTAGACTCATTTGATTTAATTGACATATGGTCCCAACAGTCTAAGAGTTTATATTAGTCCCAACAAAACTTTCTTACCCCTCATCATGGCACGTTCAGTCGAATAGTATATATCTAGAAACGGGTTGCATGTATACGACAGAACATCGCGTGATAACAGTATGTTTTATGTGTGAAGGGCGCAAAAAATAACGGGCATACAATGTTGCCTACATGTTGCTTTATGTTGAGTTAAGCCAACAACTTATCCCGGAGCAAAGTCAGAACGTAAATACATATTCTGCCTGCATTCAGGATGGCCATGGAGGCTGTAATTCAACGATACGTTATATACCTACAAACCTCCCAGGCGGTCTGCAAACGATCTTTTACTTGTAGGTATTCTCCATACCCTTAACCTCTGGTAATTGGATATCTTGAAGTGTCCTGTCAAGACTCTAGTAAATCCTATTAATTTTCTTCAGCATGTCACTGAAAATGAACAGGTTTGAAACTTTGTCATATTATAACAGATGTTGTGACTTACTTGACATTATTAACCTTTGGAAACTAAATGGGGTCCAAGGAATATGGTTATACTGATAAGATACGACAGGTACACCAATCTCCTTATCAAGACAAGTAGGCCGCAGGACGAAACAAATCGGCCCGAACGGCAGACCGCAGCGTCGGCAACGATGTTAGCACGCGAGGAATGCATAAAGACGTCTAGAAGTCTTTCAAACGTGTCAACACATGGATGTAGTACGTGCACCAGTCACCCAACAAACCACCCATCAAACAGTGAAGTACGACATTTGTACGGTCGTAGATATGTAATGTCGCTGTTTAGGATGCTAGGCAGGGGAATATGGTTCTCAGTGTATTATAACTTAAGAAAGAGTACCAGCGAGAAATAAAACATAATCAACTGCAAGCAGGATTCACTATTCCAAATTAATACAGTTTTAATTAAAAAATCGCAAACGACACAAAAATTTGATATTACATGCGAGATTGATCTTCCCTCTTTTTTAAGCAAGAATAACGGAACTATAGTCATGAATTTCATTCTGCCTTAGGGCGTGTCTTCCTTGCACAAGAATCAGTGCATTTCAAAAAGTCCATTAACAATGTTTATAAGGACATGTGTAATTCAAAGAAAGCCTATTCAATATCACATTAGTAGGTACTCATTTCGGACTCGGACTGTTACCAAGTCAGACCATCGCAAATATCTGGTCAACTCGGCCCACCGTCCTGGTCAACTTGATCCACTACCCTGGTCAACTCGATCCAACTCGGTCAACTCGGTCAACTCGGTCCACTACCCTGGTCAACTCGGTCAACTCGGTCCACTACCCTGGTCAACTCGATCCACTACCCTGGTCAACTCGGTCAACTCGGTCTACTACCCTGGTCAACTCGGTCAACTCGGTCCACTCGGTCCACTACCCTGGTCAACTCGGTCAACTCGGTCAACTCGGTCCACTACCCTGGTCAACTCGGTCAACTCGGTCCACTACCCTGGTCAACTCGATCCACTACCCTGGACAACTTGATCCACTACCCTGGTCAACTCG